AACAAATATCCAAAAGGAGGGGAAAGAAAGAAAACAGTAGGTGTAATTACATAATTAAGGACAATTGTTTCTAAAATGTTAACATATCCTTCCACCAGGGGGCAACGTTTGCAAGACATTTAAATGATTTCTCAAGAGTATTTCCTCACACAGAAATATAAACAAATATAAGCCTATTACATTACTGTTGGATAATATCTTATGTACACCTCAAAAAAGACTATGAATACAATTATTTAAACAATTTCATATAAAATTAAATATCTACTCAGAGTAAAACAGTGAGTTTAATCTCTAAGTATGTAAGATGGAATTTTCAGAAAAGAGCAAATTCCTATGTTAGTGGCTTTTTTCAGTTTATTATTAGCCATTTAGCTAAAATATAGTGAGAAGATCTCCAGGTGGGAGAAACAAAGGAAAAGAGGTTTTGCATCATGAATAAAATAATGTAAAATCATAGAATTTTACAAGTAGGAAGAATGAGCCTTCAATTGTGCCAATAAGGAAACTGAAGTTTGTTAGTGTTAAATGGTTGATTCAAAATTGCAGGAATGATAATCATCAAAATCAGGACCCAAACTCTGGTCAGCTGATCTCACATTCCGGCTTCTAAGCTGCTGATATTCAAAGCATGATCCTTGGACAAGCAGTCCTGGAAACTTGTTAGAATTGCTGAAATCTTGGGCTCCATTCTAGAACTATTTAATCAGAATCTGTATTTTAACATGATCTTAAACAGTGAGAAACTAACCTTGCTGTTTTCTCATTACAGACTGGATGACTTCAGGACATTCCTAAATCTCATTTTCCTCCTCAATAACATGGAAACAAAACTATTTTAGTTTAAAGAATAATTTTGAGGAATAAATGAGATCCTGATGTAAGTGAAAACCATTCATAAATTGCAATATACTTAATACATTAGTTATATTCAATGAAAACTTCTCCTTTTATTGTTCATAGTCCCCTGTAGCTGGATGCTTTCCAAGTACCATCACCCCTCCCTGCTAAACTCCACTGGGCTGTCATCATCTTTAAAGGACTAAATTTCTTTCAAAGTATTAAGACATACAAGGAAACATTGCCTTTTAAAATCTTTTCTATACACTTTCAATCCCAGGCTGGGTTATTTAACTTGTTTAACTTCACCCATAATTATTTGTAATTGTATTTATATGTCTATCTCCCACATAGCTTGTGAGATCTTTCAGGGGCATTCCTAGACCTAGGGTAATTCTTGGCACTCAGCGAACATTTTTAGAATGAGTGAATCAATATTAGCAGTTATTCCGATTCAGGCACTCATCCTGTTATCAAGAGAATGGAGGAGAGAGCCGGATAACATTCATTTCAATAAAGGTAAATATAATTATTTTACTATACAAACAAATGCTTTTATGTTGAATTTATATTGCTTGGTGTTCCCTTATATATGTAAAGTGAAGATGTAGCTATCATGTTTACTGGTGGTTTAGATCTCTAGTCATTTGTAGTGAAACTTAAGCAGAAGTGCTTAGGAAAACCATTTTTGTATCACTACCTCAGCTTCACAGATATTTGTTATAACTTCAGTTTTCATATAACTTTTCAGAATTTCAAAATCATGGATATCTCTAAACAAATTAAATTTAATGAATTTAGTCACTGAAGATTTGAAAAACATAGATATTTTGAAAAGCACCTAGATGAGTCAAAGTCCTGAGTGGCTTGAATCTTTTGTTTGCAAGGAGGTAGTTTAATGAGAT